AAAATACAGATCAGTGTTTCCCAAAGTTCATGATTGCAAAGATATTCAGTTTGCTATGATAGCAGGAGAGAAACCAAACAAATATTCACATTTAAGAAGCTATCATTAGAAAATTCTGACTTATTTTTTCCCTAAAAAAATGACCCACACCTATTAAACAATGATCAAACTAGTTACTGACTATTTAATAGTTGACAACTAACTGATAAACCAGCGAATCGTTTCAGCTCTACTTTATACTTGGTTTAAAATGCATGTCAGTGACATAAACAAGCACACAGCAGAGCTGCATCGCGTTTTTCAGGCAATCCCCAAGGTGTCCTGCTGACCGTCTGCTGGAAGGTCAAAGGGCCCTGCTCACACCTACTACGTCAGTGTGTTGCCAGACATGCGCACTGTTGTTTTACTGATGTAAGCTACAGAAACCAAAATCTACATGTACAGGCTGTTGTCTGTCCTGCCAGGCGAGATTAGCAGGACAAAGTCATTTGTGACTTGCAACAGAGTGTAGGACAAGATACGCAAACATGTCCTGTTTGAATTGTGCATTTCCCTGTTACATCCTTGTTAGGGACACCTTACATTATGAAAGACAGGTGGTCAGATGTGTCCCAGACCACCTCAGCAAGTGTCTTTTATTAAGCATTGACCACTTGTGATCCAGTCACCCAAGACGCACTTTAAAACCAAATGCGATTAGAAACTTAGGTCCACATGCTTTATGTATATCATTTAGAAAAAGGATTTGAAACAAAATAAGTAAAAATGGCTCTAATTACATAAAAGGTATGTGCAAGAAGCAGGATAAGATTACAATAAAAATAAGCTGAGTTTGAAATTTTTGTTATTTCAAATAACTGCTATTTATTTTATAATGTCTTATTTATTTATGCAATTTTGAACTCTTTGGGTCCCTGTAATATATATATGTGTGTGTGTGTGTGTGTGTGTGTTGAGAGCCCTGTGATTCTGCATGCTGGCTCACTGTAATGACTCACTGAGACACTCAAAACAACTGAGCCATCATTAAAGTGGTTCGTTACCCCTGTGCTTTTCCTGTAACCACAGATGACGATATCTGCTGTAAAAAAGGCCAACTGTGTTTCATATTAGTGGATATTTTTGCTAAAATGACAGGAACAAGGAGGTCAAACAAGTCAGCGTCTTTAAAGGTGACTGTTTTAAGCAAAATTTATTTAGAATTAAATCCAACAACACAATATCATTGGGTATATGGAGGATATTCTGAAGCTGCATTTAGTTCAGTTGCTCCCTGTCTATGCCTATATGATAGAGAGGGTGTAAATGCATAATTAAATAACCAAATATATTGTAATATATTTAATTTTTCACCCTGAGCAGAATATTCATTCAGTAAAATCCCAGCTGCACTCCTGCTCCCTATGCTGTTATTGAGGTTTCAGCACACATTCTAAGTATTTCTACTGTATTGTATGAGCTGTAGGCAGTTACGTCAAAAGTCAAGAATATTATGTAAATACCTGTACATAAAAGACATGTAACAAAATGTTTGGTTAATGACGTGAGAAGTAAATATATGAGTGATTAAATGCAAAAAAAAAAAAAAAAAAAAGTTGTAGATTAAGATTGATGAAAAAATACTCATTTGCTTTCTTGGGGCAGTTCGGTGAGAGCATCATCTCAGGGTTGTGGGGTAAATGTGAAAGGGAAGCTAACAGCAATTAGCATAGCTTATCATAAAGAATGGAAACAAAGGGAAACAACTAGCCTAGCGCTGTCCAGACGAGCACCTCTTAAGTTTGCAAATGAATAATTTAATAATTGTTCAATCTCTAAGACAAAAAAGAGGATTAAAAACTGTAAGTTAAGGTTTTATTGGCTTTCATCGGGCACTAAATGTTTTTTGGTGACCCCAGGCACACAGTTGTTGTTTATACACTCTGGTTATTGTAATGGATTAAACAACAACAGCATTTAAGCTAATTGCCTACTTGCTCAAACCTTTTCGTAGCATCACATTTGTTTAATATGTACATAAACTTGTGTGTGAAGCCCCTTTTTACCTGTCACATGCTGTTTTTAACATTTTGGTGTTTGTATGTAAAAAGAAAAAAGTTAGCTTCTTGTATGCTACTGCTAATGTGAGGCACAAACGGGCTAGCAGGGACATTTCATACAAGAGACTTGCAAATGTTACAGGTGTTTTATTATTTATTGTTATGCTGGTGTTTGTATGACTATTTTTTAAGCAACCAAATAAAAATTACAAACCTGTATTAAATATGAGCATTCATTCTACTAACACTATAAGGCCCATCGCTGCTAGCATCCTCCTGCCATATTGGAGTAACTCTGGCCGGCTGTGTTGAAAATCTGTCGGGTAACTTTTTATTTACAGGGAGCAGGTATGAAACTGGTGTATTATTATTATTATTATTTAATATTTAGGGGGAAAAATAGCATATGCCTTTTTTTTTATTTTTTATAGCCAAAATGTGACTTTAAATGGCTTACTGCTGTGGGTTCCAAACATCAGTTTGTGCCACATAGGTGTTAGCATATGTTTGGCTAGCTGTGCTAACTAGTGTTTGTTTTTTTTGTTGTTGTAAAGGTTATTAAACTTTCAATGTTCTAAACCCTTCAGAAGGTAATTTAAAAACATTTTAACCATCTTCTAATTGTCTGAGTCTTCTAAGGGCTAAAACATTGTTTAGCTTCTGCTTCAGTTGAACCAACCTGATTGAAAACAGAAGCAGAACAATGGGGTAAAAAAACCAAAATATTTGTGTTGTTGTATACATATTGTTCTGTAAACATATTTCTCATCCAGGTGGTTAAGGATTCTGGAAATATCTCCAGAGCAATGCCAGGTGTTTTTTTTTCTTTTTCTTTCTTTCTTTTTTTAAACTACCCTTCAATAATTGTAGCATCTCTTGGAAGAAATCGAGTTAGCTCGTCGTATGCTAATGCTAACAGCAAACGGGCTAACCATACATTTGCTGCAAGATACTACAAATATTACATGTGTTTAATTATGTATTGTTAATTTTTTTGCGTTTGTTTGACTACTTTTTAAAAAATTAATCTAATTAAAGTTAAAACCACATGAATATTCATTTGACAGGGACAATAAGCTCCATCCCTGTTAACCTCATCCTGATACTGCAGTAACTCTGGCGGCTCAGATGAAGATCTGTCAGGTAACTCAACTCCTCTCTGATGTCATGAGGAGTAATTGAAACCTTGCTGAAGGCTGCAGCCATGGAGGGACCGGATCCCCGCCTCTCACCGGGCAAAAATTCCGCTATGGGGAGAAGATCGGCGTCGGGAACATGGCGCACTCACTCTGGATTAACTTTCACTGAGGAAAACTTTGTAAGGTCGCTGCGTAGCTCACAACTCCTCGGATCTTTAACGTATTGATAAGTTTCACCACTGGGGAAGGCGACTGCAGACTTGTGGGCTTGTTTCGGAAGCTGGCTGAGTGTTTTCCTGCCCTGCCTCACTGCTTCTGCTGCTGCTGCTGCTGCTGCGGGATGAAAGTTTGCAGCCGGATTTAGCAGAGATGGAAAAGCACAGGACGAGGAAAGAGAAGGTAAGGCCGGTGGAAACAGTGGCTTTATTTAGCGCTTTCACAGTTCAGCGCGATCTACAGGAGGCTGAGGGGATGAAAGGAAGCTCGTTTGGGGCAGTTTGCGGACAATCGGGCTGCTCACATCTCAGGTTGAGCTGCCATCCTGCAGGATTTATTTTGAAACGTCTGGCTGGAGCTCACAGCACCATCTGATTCCTGTCAGAGGCAGTGTGGGGGGAACTGCTCTGCAACTTTTCCACTTAAAAAACAGCTAAAGCCCTCGGTTGTACCCGTGGATCCTAAGAAGTAGATTATAGTGTGTGACTAAATGCTAAGGAAGTGAAAGGACAGGTACCACTGATAAATACTACTCATGAAGCTGCATGGATCATCTGATCAGTTATCCACCTTTCAATCAGTCTGCATTTATTTTGAAAATCAATAAAGCAGCCTTTTCTTCAAGACAAAATTTTCTAATTCCAGCTTCTTAATTGTGAACATTTTCTAATACTTTCTGTCTTTTATAATAGTGAACTGAATATTTCTAGGCTGTGGACAAAGCAAGACATTTTTAGTCTTGGGTTTTGTGGAACACTGATCTTGATTTTGTGACATTTGAAAGTCAGAAATGAAAAATCGACAGTGAAAATAATCACCAGTTGCAGCTCTAACCATATAATACTTTAATTAGGGTCTAAAGAGCTCCAGAAATCACATCGACTCCTCTCTTCATCAAATAAATCAAAAGAAAGACATAAACAGCATGAAGGAACACAAGAAAATATAACTTATCTTATTTTTTATACTTAAATCTCTTCTATTTTTCATTTTTTTGCTCTTTATTTTGTACTTTATTATGTATGGCACTGAAGGAGCTGCTCTCAATCTCATTGTACTTGTGTATAGTGACAATAAAGGCATTCTATATTCTATTCTTCTTTACCAAAAGACCAAATATAGTTGATAAAAACAAGATCAAATATGCTAAATTTGAATAAATGCAGTGCCAGATATGACTGAACACCTAATGCAGTTAGAATTACAATTGTTTTAAGATTTGATTTAAAAGAACTGAGCTGGATCAGACCTTATGTTTTCTGTTTTCTGGGAGTTTGTTCCAGACAATAAAAAGCGTCACAACCTGAAATTGAAGGTGCAGAAAAATGAAAACAATACAAGGCATTGTGTAGGCAAGTGTGGAAAAAAAAGGACTTTCAGAGATTGATTTATGAGATGACAGTGATTGTTTCAGAGCAGAAGCANAGAGGTGTTAATGACAAATTTTATTTATTTATTTTACCTTGTGCCCTGTCCAAAATTATTCAAATCCTTGAAATTGTCATAAGTGTTTGAAAAAATTGGACTTCTGTCACATTCCAAAGTGTCAAAAGTCCCAAAGTCTGTATTTCTACCACAACCTGAGCCAATGCAGCAACACTTCTATCCGACCCACTGGCCAGCTCCAAGTCATGGCCAAAACTAAAGATAGAGTGAGCTTGTTATCTGAGTCCATCACTGTGGAGAGCAGAGCATCATCAGCTACAAGGAGTTTCACATCATGACAAATCTCACAGGATGTCATAAGAAGTCAACAGTGACTCCTGCACTGGCAAGAATGGTAGAAGCCAAGAAGAATCCAAACTTCTGCATCAAAACCATCCTGATAAAGCTGAACAGTTTTGGTAGCAACACGTCAAACACACACTCCAGCAGAAACTAAATAAGGCTGATCTCCATGGATCTCCAAGACAGACACACAAAAACTCACCTGGACAGAGAAGAATGTTTTTGGTCATCAGTTCAGTGGTTGGACATGAAAATCATCAAGCATTTAACCCCAAGATCACCAATCAGATGGTCAGTGATGAGAATGTGATGCTTTGGGCATCATGAGAAAACAGGAGGACATGAAGATTGTGGAGGAAAACTTCAGGCAGTCTGCAGAAAAAACTTGATCTTAGGCAGCATCAGACCTTCCAGCAAGACAACAATGTGAAACATACAGCCAAAGAGATCAAGAAATGCTGAACAGAAACCAATATGAGCACTTTGAAGCAGCCCAGAGTCCAGACCTGAAAAAACATCAAGAATCTGTGGAGCAACTGAACACCAGAGTGATGGCAAAGAAGCCTTCGACCTCAAAGACTTTTAGACTGTCACAGAAATGGAGTGGAACAGCTGGCCAGTGGATGTGGTGGCAAATAAAGGCTTTGACAATGAAAGGGTATGGATAAAGTTAGACATGGCACTTTGAGTTAAAAATTTAAAACAGAAAAGACAGAAAAAAATCAAATTCATCATTAACATCTCGAACACAACGTCTGGCTGTCCTTTTGTCACATGTGACTTTATTAGGTTTATCAGTGTGTATGCAGGTGGATCTATTTTGTGTTTAGTTAGCTAGTTTGGTCCAGTACTTTCCAACCTTGGAGTTGTGTCTCTTTAAATCTGAGTGGGTGGAAGATGATGCTTCCCAAAGCCCATCATCACTCATGTCTTATTTTGTCCTCAAACCAAAGCTGCAATCAGAGAATATAGACGTTTTTTTCCAGTTAAAAAATTAGTCAGACAGATTAATCGATTATCAAAAAAGCTGATTATTAACGTTGTAGTTGCTAACTAATTAATTTATCTTTGCAATGCTAGTATTTTATAACCTTGTTTTGGCTTAGCATGTAAAATAATATTTTAAAAAACACCCAGTGAATGCAGCTGACTGATAAATGTTGTGGCAGTTGAATACAAAAGTTCATGATATTTAAATACTCAAACTAAATATGGGGTTTTACCTGTGTAGAGGAATTGTTGGCACTCTGCAAAGGAAAGCCAGCAGTGCTACAGTTTTGTTAATTGGAGTTTGTATGCTGAAGCATAATAAACATTTTTTTAAATCAGAAATAAAAAAAAGGAAATTCATAGATTTCTGTAAGACAAACGACTAGTTGCTTTTACTATATACAGACGTTCCCTTCCCCAAAGTCCCATTCTGAGCCAGCAAAAACTATCCAAGTGCGTTCAGTTAAATATAGCATCACAAAACTAGCATTTGTTGTGTTTCCTTCAGCAGCTGTACAGCGGTTTTGGTGAAAGCAGAACTTCCTCAGATGGACCAGAGCAGCAGTGCAGAGGTGGAGGAGCAGCACCACCTACAGGCTGTACAACTGAAGGTCAGGAGGCCACACTCCAGGACTAAGAGGAAAGACCGAGCTGTGAGGCTCCACAGAGTGTGTCTCAAGCTGAGCAGACGCAGAAACAAGAGCAGAACACAAAATGCAGGACGGCCAGCTGCTCGTCTGAATGTGAATATCACAGGGAGTCAAAGTGTTTAAAATTCAACTAAGAAATAAGACATTATGAAATAGAATATCACATGTATATAGCCCATCACAGTGAAATTATGGAATAATACAATATATAACTACAGATAAACATTAACACCACTGACTGGTGAAATGAATAACTGATCATCTCATTTCAAGTTCTGCTGGGAAACCTTATTCATGCCTGCATTCATGTGGATGTGACTTTGACCAGGAGCATCCACCTACACTGGAAAAGACCATTTTTGGACCAACTTTTCAGGTTGATAGGATCCACTAAAGTAAATTTAGTAAAGACAAGTGAGATTTCTCTGAAAAAGTTCTTTAATTCAACGACAGCGCAGTGACGTTCAAAACCCCTCTGAAGGTCATTTAAGTGTCAATGAGGCTTCTGATTATTTTCTTGATTATGTGTTCAGTTGTTTGGTCTACAAAATACAGATCAGTGTTTCCCAAAGTTCATGATTGCAAAGATATTCAGTTTGCTATGATAGCAGGAGAGAAACCAAACAAATATTCACATTTAAGAAGCTATCATTAGAAAATTCTGACTTATTTTTTCCCTAAAAAAATGACCCACACCTATTAAACAATTATCAAACTAGTTACTGACTATTTAATAGTTGACAACTAACTGATAAACCAGCGAATCGTTTCAGCTCTACTTTATACTTGGTTTAAAATGCATGTCAGTGACATAAACAAGCACACAGCAGAGCTGCATCGCGTTTTTCAGGCAATCCCCAAGGTGTCCTGCTGACCGTCTGCTGGAAGGTCAAAGGGCCCTGCTCACACCTACTACGTCAGTGTGTTGCCAGACATGCGCACTGTTGTTTTACTGATGTAAGCTACAGAAACCAAAATCTACATGTACAGGCTGTTGTCTGTCCTGCCAGGTGAGATTAGCAGGACAAAGTCATTTGTGACTTGCAACAGAGTGTAGGACAAGATACGCAAACACGTCCTGTTTGAATTGTGCATTTCCCTGTTACATCCTTGTTAGGGACACCTTACATTATGAAAGACAGGTGGTCAGATGTGTCCCAGACCACCTCAGCAAGTGTCTTTTATTAAGCATTGACCACTTGTGATCCAGTCACCCAAGACGCACTTTAAAACCAAATGCGATTAGAAACTTAGGTCCACATGCTTTATGTATATCATTTAGAAAAAGGATTTGAAACAAAATAAGTAAAAATGGCTCTAATTACATAAAAGGTATGTGCAAGAAGCAGGATAAGATTACAATAAAAATAAGCTGAGTTTGAAATTTTTGTTATTTCAAATAACTGCTATTTATTTTATAATGTCTTATTTATTTATGCAATTTTGAACTCTTTGGGTCCCTGTAATATATATATGTGTGTGTGTGTGTGTGTGTGTGTTGAGAGCCCTGTGATTCTGCATGCTGGCTCACTGTAATGACTCACTGAGACACTCAAAACAACTGAGCCATCATTAAAGTGGTTCGTTACCCCTGTGCTTTTCCTGCAACCACAGATGACGATATCTGCTGTAAAAAAGGCCAACTGTGTTTCATATTAGTGGATATTTTTGCTAAAATGACAGGAACAAGGAGGTCAAACAAGTCAGCGTCTTTAAAGGTGACTGTTTTAAGCAAAATTTATTTAGAATTAAATCCAACAACACAATATCATTGGGTATATGGAGGATGTTTTGCAGCTGCATTTAGTTCAGTTGCTCCCTGTCTATGCCTATATGATAGAGAGGGTGTAAATGCATAATTAAATAACCAAATATATTGTAATATATTTAATTTTTCACCCTGAGCAGAATATTCATTCAGTAAAATCCCAGCTGCACTCCTGCTCCCTATGCTGTTATTGAGGTTTCAGCACACATTCTAAGTATTTCTACTGTATTGTATGAGCTGTAGGCAGTTATGTCAAAAGTCAAGAATATTATGTAAATACCTGTACATAAAAGACATGTAACAAAATGTTTGGTTAATGACGTGAGAAGTAAATATATGAGTGATTAAATGCAAAAAAAAAAAAAAAAAAAAGTTGTAGATTAAGATTGATGAAAAAATACTCATTTGCTTTCTTGGGGCAGTTAGGTGAGAGCATCATCTCAGGGTTGTGGGGTAAATGTGAAAGGGAAGCTAACAGCAATTAGCATAGCTTATCATAAAGAATGGAAACAAAGGGAAACAACTAGCC